CCCCCCTGCCAAATTGACAATTTTCAATATTTTTCCAAACTCTCGAATGTTTTGAGTTCTTAGAGAGCACTCTCACTGGCTTCTCAGTGTCTCCACTCATTTGCATAACTTTCAGTCTTGACTTTTAGTACGTAGAATTGGCTTAGCCGTCATATAAATACCTCCTTTTGAACTAATATTTTTTCAATTCACAAGCCCCCCTGCCAAATTGACAATTTTCAATATTTTTCCAAACTCTCGAATGTTTTGAGTTCTTAGAGAGCACTCTCACTGGCTTCTCAGTGTCTCCACTCATTTGCATAACTTTCAGTCTTGACTTTTTGTACGGCTCAGGGACATAAGTGCCCGGACGGACGGACAAAAACAGTGACGTACGATCAAAAACAGTTAAAGTATATTACGTACGGACGGTCAAAATATCCGGACAAACACGAGCGACATTAGTGCCCGTACGGACGGTCAATTCATTTTTTTGTGCAACTATAGAAATGAACATATATATTTTTTTCAAATTCTTTGGAGAACGTACGTACGATCAAAAGTTTCTTCACATAAGAAACATATTGAAACGCAGTTCATATTGTATTTTGTTAGAATTGGGCATCACCGAGGTTTATTTTAATTTCCCTATCATCAGAGATTCTAAAAATTGATTCGTCGCTAATATGATCTTGCAGGTAATATTTAATTTGTGGCCGTACGTCAAACGAACATACATCTTTTTTTTTAAATAAATATGCACGGACGGCGAAGAGTGACGAGAAAAACATATCAAAATGTAGTTCATAACCATAAATATGATTTTGAATTATGGACCGATATAGATATATACTAGGATTAAAATTCGGGGCCGTTCGAAATAATTTGACGAACGAATGGCCAAATCGTTTTCTCGTTGTTTTTGGGGCCAGGCGAATAATGTTTTAGATACATTTTACATTTACATACATTTCATTTTGAAAAAAATACGTCGTAAATTCTAATTTTTTTTATTGAAAAATTTACTATAGAAAAAACTATTATATCACGTTTAGAATTTACGACATATATTTTGAAAAATTTACTATAGAAAAAACTATTATATCACTTTTAGAATTTGCGACATATAATTTGAAAAATTTACTATAGAAAAAACTATTATATCACGTTTAGAATATGCGACGTA